GGATGGCTTCTATCAAATCCTTATGAGAGAACAGGATATACTCTATACCGCAGTTAGCACGCCTAGCGGCATGCTCTGGGAATGGCTAGTAATGCCACAAGGGCTTAGTAATGCCCCTGCCACGTTCAACAGATGTGTATCACATCTGTTGAGACCAGTACGAGAATTCGCGCCGAGTTATTTCGATGACGTATTCATCCATAGTCGAGCTATGGATGGAAAGTCGGACGTTGAGGTTCACAGGTACCACGTCCGACAAGTTCTTACAATCATGCGAAAGCATCAATTGTATGCTAACCTCAAGAAGTGTATATTTGCGGCAAGCGAAATACCACTTCTTGGGTGCATCGTTGGTAAGAACGGAGTACGTCCTGATCCCGAAAAGATCAAGGCGATCACCGACTGGCCCGTGCCGGTCGATGTCAAAGGTCTTCGAAAATTCCTTGGGCTAGCGGCGTATTTGCATAAGTATTCACGCAATTACGCCGAGATGACTGTACACCTCTCTCGTTTGTTGAAAAAGAACGAGAGGTGGTTATGGAACGCTGAATGTCAACGCTCCTTTGAGGGTATCAAGCAGAGCTTGATACAATCCCCAGTCCTAGCAATAGCCGATCAGGACAGGCCATTTCATGTGGTCTGTGATGCCAGCGATTTCGCAATCGGCTGTGCATTAATGCAGTACGACCTTGAAGGCGTTGAACGCGTCGTCTGCTATCAGTCGCGTCAGCTGCAACCAGCTGAGCGGAACTATCCAGTGCATGACAAGGAACTCCTTGCCATGAAGTATGCACTCGCGAAGTTCAGAGTCTATCTATTAGGAGATAGACCCTTCGTTGTTTACACTGACCATGCGTCATTACGCACGGCAGTGAACAGCCCGCACCTTTCACAACGAATGGCGCGGTGGTTGTCATTCTTTGCAGAATACAACTTTACGGTCGAGTACAAACCAGGACGACTTAATGTCGTCGCTGATGCACTCTCACGTCGTCCCGACTTAGAAACAGTCGCGAAACCCAACAGTGAGACAGCCACTGTTGCGGTTATGACGTCCTCAGTCCCATCTTCAACGTTACATGATGATGTGAGGCGGGCATACGCCCAAGATGGTGAGATTGTGAAGCTGTTGACACATCTCTCACAGCCATCTCGAGAATCGTTGAAACGATTGTCGTCTGCGTATCGATCTGCATCAGATCGATACACTACTCGTAACGGTTTACTGTACTATACAGCCGTTTCTGGTGACACACCACGTGTTGTCATTCCAGATGATATTGATCTGCGTTTGCGGATCATGTTCGAGTATCACGATGCTCCTATAGGAGGACATCGTGGCCGAGAGAAAACATATCTCACGGTAAGTCGAGACTTTTACTGGCCCCGCCAGTATCAGTTTGTGCGAAAGTATGTTCGCGCATGCGAAGTCTGCCAACGAGTGAAGTCAAGTCCTTCACTGCGTGCACCTTTACAGCCTCTACCGGTTCCGGCTGAGTGCTGGGAATCCATCTCAATGGATTTCGTCTTCGGGTTACCCAAAGACGCACGCGGGAATACGGGTATTCTCGTATTTGTTGACAGATTCAGCAAAATGGTACACCTTGTGGCTGTACCAGAGACAATCACGGCAAGTGGCTGTGCTTGTGTCTTTATTGACACCATCTTCCGACTTCATGGGTTGCCCCGTGAACTCGTATCAGACAGAGATCCACGATTCACTGCTGATTTCTGGCGTTCCGTGTTCAAATCACTCGGAACGCGCTTGAAGATGTCAACATCTGATCATCCAGAGTCAGATGGTCAGACGGAACGTGCCAACCGTGTCCTCGAAGAGATACTTCGAGGATACGTACACTCCTTTAAAAGTTGGAGTGAGTTTTTGCCAATGGTAGAGTTTGCCATCAACAACTCGGTGCATGCGTCCACGACGCATACACCGTTTTACGTGAATGGCTTGCGCCATCCGCGTGTACCCACCTTACTAGAGTGTAACTCTGGTTTAAGGGGGGAGGGACTCGCGCGAGCAAAAACCGATTTGGTTCACGCTCATCACGCTCTGACGAAGAAGTCATTGCGTTTGATGCCGATATCGATAACATCGATATCGAAGAAGATGATGCCAGTGAGAGTGCGGAAGCCCTCACTGAAGACAATGATCCCAGTGAGAGTGCGGAAGCCCTCGCTGAAGAAAAGGTTGTTGTTGCTGCAGTGCGCTCACAGCACACTGAAGCTAACGAGTCATCAGATGAGTTCATACTGGCTCGTGAAACGGTAGTCCGTTTTGTGCAAGACTCCATCGCCGAAGCGGTGGATAAGCAAAAGCAAAACGCTGACAAGAATGGAAGGGCAAACACTCTTTTATTTAGTAAAGGTGACTTAGTCCTACTGTCTACGGTTAATCTACCAAAGCATGTAGTGACTAACTTGGGTAGCAGTAAACTACTACCCAAGTACATTGGCCCATTTCGTGTATTGCACCGCCTAGGCAATGCATACACGATCGAGTTACCACGTAAGATGCGAACGCATCCCACGTTTTACGTTGGTCGGCTTAAGCCGTACCATCAGTACGCTGCTTCTTCCGATGAAGAACGCCCTTGCGCTCAAGCATCTCGCAGAGAGCCTTGTGCTCCCGATGGTGGGCATCAACAAGGGTCTGAAGAGCAGTTATCTCAGCCCGAGACCGATCAACAATCCCACGAGCTACCCTTAGCTCGTCACGAAGAGATGTCAGAGATCTCTCGTTCTCAAGCTGAGCAAAGGCAAACTCAGCTCGATGCTTCGAGGCAGTGTCCACCATCTGGAGACGCCTATTCCGCTCATGCTCGAGATCGTCGCGTAACCCTTGCGTTACGCGATCAAAAGCTCTCGGGAACACACCGATCCACATGATCGTGTGGAGAGCGTCTTTCCTCCTCCTCCACCTCCATTAGAGGACTCTCGCGGTGGCCAGCGCTATCTAGTTGAGCAGCTGTTGAACCACCGCGACGTGAACGGACGTCGGACGAGTTACCTCGTCCGGTGGCGCGGCTATCCCCCGTCCTGGGATTCTTGGGAGCCCCGCTCCCAATTGATGGTTGACGTACTGGGTCTGGTCGAGCAGTACGACGCGACACATCCTGTGCCGCAGAAGGACCGCCGGAGAAAGTCTTCCCGGCACGGTCGTAAAGGGATTTCAGGTTGTCAATCCCTTCGTACATCTCAGTAGAGACACGTACGCGCCACCACGGGCTGGTAAGGAGGTAAGCCTCCTTAGGTGCTCGTGCAGAGTTGTTCACACAACATGGGCACGAGTCTCTCCAAGAGAGGCAGGGTAATCCTTTCTCCCTTGACAGACGATGCAGCTTGTAGCGTGCACCTGTCGGGGTTCGCTTTTCAAACTTATCACGAGCTTTGATAAGTTTGTCGTTCCAAGCGTCACGACCTACATCCTCGAGATTATGGATGTAGGCGTTCCACGCCTGAAGTAGTGAGGGACCATCACGTTTGTGATTCCCACTGTACCATCGATGTCTGAAGAAAGCATCGATGAAGAACTCATGTTCAGCGCGATAGTCTTTCGCGCTGGGGTCAAGGTGATGGATCCTTGACGAATCGAACAATCGTGTTCGATAACGATCACTCGTCGTCGCCGACAAGTGATCCATGACGAATTTAGGAGGCATCCATGCCTTCTTTTCTGGAGCGAGACGCAACACATTGCGGTCCCGCTCTTCCTGCGACGTGCCGACAGAAGTACTGGCACCTCGCTGCGAAGTGGTGTCCATTGGAGAACCGACACCACTATTAGCGCCCGAGTCTCGCGACCTCGAGCGCCTTCGCTTCGGCGATGGTTCATCTGATTCATCAGATGAACCAAAGATGCTGCGACGCAAAACATCGTCCATGCCACGCTTGGCAGGCGGCTTGGATTCAATTGCCGTCGATACGGATCCGTCATCCGTATCAGGAGAGTACGAGACACCGAGCTCGTACTCTGTGAAGACACGAGTGTCTTCATGACCAGCGCCTGCGTCACCAAGTGACACAGGCTGGGTCTCTTCAGCAACCGATGGGACATCAGTTGCTGTTGTCTCTGCTTCGGCGTCCGCACAGAGACGTGCAGACGCGCTCTCGGCGGCCTTGCTCGCGCATCGCATGGGCTTGTTTACCATGCGATGAGATGTTGGAAAGTGGACGCGGACCAACAAGTGCAAACCCCGTCCCAAATGATTTGGGACGAGTATCCATTTAGTCAATCAGTCACTAAAGTGACTGATGGTTAAGGGGGGGGTGATGTAACGGGGTGAATCGTTACATAACAATTTATAAGAAATTGTTAATAGAATATAACTATAAGAGTTATATTCTCAGAATATTGTCATAAGGACAAATATTCTGTAGCACTTCCAAGTAGTTCCTAATTGGTTGATATAGGCCATTATATCAACCAACGAAGACGCGCCACGACAGACGCACGCAATGAGTGGTGAGCAGATAACTGATTTACACATTTGTATTTAGACATAGTTAGATGAAGATAAATAGGGATTTATTGCAGACATTAACTATTATAAATACAGTTCTACTTTTTACTCTAACCAAGTACTCGCTTCTTCTTACCGTCTTCCTCTGCACGTACGAGTGTACGTGAAGTTACGAGGCACCGCCTTATTCTGTTATCAGAATAAGTAGCTTGTACTGTCACCAGTACAAGCTTCAGGGTGCCCCGTTACATGCTCTGCTATTGCTCCCGCGCGCTTAAGCGAACCGCGAGTCGCAAGAGGCTCTATTTGCCAATTCTCTGTTCGTATAGGCGCACTCTCGCAACCTCGTGTATTGCCAGCTGATGTCAATGTTGTTTGTTCTGTGCTTGTTTGTGCAATTTTCGGGTCTTTGTCTGTATTGACGCTGTCGTCGTGAACTGGACTGCTAATACCATGCAACAGTCGAGCGTTTTGCTACTCTGTGAGCGTCGCGATGTTTCGGACGTGCTGCGTGGTGATGACGGTGTTGCTCTACCTCAAGCACATCTTGTAGCCCTTCGTCTCGTCGTTGCGGCCAATGATCGTCCCCTTCTCGGATTGCCGCTGCAGGGAGTTCTTTCCTGGGTCTTGTCGTAAGTCGCACGTCGATCCAAACACCACGATGTCGCGCATGTCCGGCACCACATGGTTAGCACCTCGAGAGGCGATGAGCGCTTTGCGTTCGCGCTCGTCAAACTCCTACAGAGTATATAGGCGGCGTATTCGACCGCATCGCCCCAAGAAAAAGCGGTAACGAGCACGCGAAGATCATTGACCGTGCCATGTTAAGGACGGTGCGGTGTATCCGCTCTGCTTTTCCGTTACTTGCTTGATTTCTTAGTTCTCTAATTTGACGTGCAACCCCAATTCTCTTGCAGAACAGTCTACGTTACGATACTCCCCCCCCTTCGCCATCGGTTCGCAAAACCAATATCTTGCATTCGAAATGTCTCTTAAAAACGCTATGGAATGCTCAAACGTCCTTGCTGCTTGATCATCAGTCTTCGCTAAAACCACCTGACGGTCTTTGCTTATGTGATCCACAAAATTGACTAGATAGCTGTTACCAATCCTGTCTCTTGGCATGAGTGGACCTTTTAGGTCAGAGCATTTAACACCCCCCACTCGCTCCATGGGCGATTCGCGCCAGTGCCCTTTTTACTCTGCGCATTTTTTTCTGCTTGCTTTCCATGCAAGTGACGCACGCCTTGCGTCGCCGATCCGTGAGTTCGATACCCGAGTCAGGATCACGCGCGATGCGCGCGATTGTGTCATATGCGTGGTGACCAATTTGCTAATGAAAGTGTGCTAACGATTCCATTTGCACGTCTCGTTTGCGGTCCACAGTCACATCCACCTCGAGAGCCGCAATGATCACGTCTATGGTTCCCTCTTCGCATTGTACAGCAGATGTCTCCACGTAGAGCACTTTGATGCTCATTTTGAGATTAATCGCGATCTCTCCATCGCTGCGCCGAGCAAGCGATCGCTCAGCGTCCTTGTACACAAGCCCTCACCACTTAAGTTCAACCAGCCCGTAAGATTTAATGCTGCAAGCGAGCTGTGGCGCCAGGCACACGTCTGGGAGTGTGACCTTCCTTTCTTTCCACCAGCGACAACCTGCAGCTGCACAATTCCGACTTGCGTAAGCTCGAGCTCTTCTCCGTCTGCCATCGCAATGTCGTGGCTGCATTCTTTCGCATTACGCATCAGCGTCGCATCATGGACGAGACGTCAGCTCGAACCTCTGTCGAGGATCCAAAACTTTTGTAGCTGACGTCACTGTTGATTATCGCGTTCACCGACTCTCTAGCTGATCTGTGTGTACGCCCAGCCCGCTTTCCACGCGACCGCGGCTTGATGTCGGTCACGGCCACTACCATTCCTCCGTCGCCACCACCGCCGTAATTTTTTTCTCCCACCGCTGTTATTTCCGCTCACCTAAGAGCGGCAGTTCGCTTGGATGTGGCCACTTTTGCCACACTCATAGCATCTGCGCGATTTTTTCTGCTGTACTGGCGTGTCAACGTGCGCTGTCACGACTTCGCGACCTACCGACTCCGCTGTCGACTCGATCGACTATGCAAAGTGCGCCAGCCCCTCCGCATGGCGCAGACAATCAACTCTATTTACATCGTACTTTTTCTTAAGTACAAGCGCGAGCTTGGACAATGCGTGGTTGACAATGTTGTCAAGCACGAGTGTGTCGGCGCCGCCTCGAGCGTCATTGACCGCCACGAAGTACAGGAAGTGTTTTGGCCAGCTGCGCTTTGGGTCCTTGTGCTGCGAGAACAGCTTCATCGCCTAAGCCGCCGTGATGGAGTCTTGAATGTCGCAAGCATGCGTCCCATTACGTAATCAAGCGTCGGCTGCTGCTGCCACTACGTGTACACTTATTTGTGATAGTACGCCTCGGTCGTACCACTTAGGTAGTGACCAAGCAGGTCCACTTTCACATCTTCGGACCAGAGGATGCCGTAAGCCGCTTGCGCCATGTTCACTTGTCGCACGAAAGTCCGACCCCAGTCGAAGAACCCGAATCCCAGTCCGCGATAGAGCTCTGACCCATCAAACTTTCTGTTCGTAAGCTTTTGCTGGCGCGCGTCTGGCGTCCCGACGTGCATATGATGATACTGTTGCCTCGGAGGCGTCGCTTTTGCTTGAGCTACTTCATGTACGCCAGCTGCGTGCTCTTTTGTCGTCGCCGAGGCTGGCACTGCCACAGAAGGTGACACGCGGTCACGCACTTGATGCGGTTGCGGTGGTAGGGCCGGGAATCGAGGCCCAAGCGAATCAAATGGTGGTATTCGTGGTCGGGACCAGTCATACGTTCTCGCTGCGCTCTGACCGCCAAATTCGTTCTGGTTGCTCGAGTGCATCGATATGCATCTTGCGAGCTCCCATGTTCGCGCCAAGCGCTGAAGCGAATAGTTCCCTTTAAATTGCGCCACGCATCCGCTCGTCTTCGTCGATGCGTATCTGGCTCGTTTCCATACGCTCCATGCGCGTGGAGAGGGCATCAAGCATCTCGAGAACCTTGTCTTCCTTTGCCGAACCCCTTGCGTGGGTTGGCGTGTCTTTCACGACAGCAGCGCTTGCAGGGCGTCCTGGCGGGGTGCCATGGGCCGGCGAGGCCCTTGCGTGACCTGCTGGAGCCGGGGCGTTTCCGCGTCGTCGGGTCCAGCCTTTGGTCTCAACACCTATTATGCGAAAGGGCTTAAGTGACAGTTAGATCTTATGATACTGAGTTTACCTTTCCAACCTATGGCTCCCGTTAGTCACCAGCTGCCCTTGCCCGCAGGTCTTCTCCCTACCACCCATTTCAAGTCACACCCAGTTTCACTATGCTCTATACATCGTAAACATGAGCGAAAGCCGCGCTTTGCACAAGAGCAACATGTGTCGACACGTCGTTTTCCAATAGATCATTTGTCGCACCCGCTATGCTGCGGCAGCTATGGACGCGCGCATCAGTGCACCTGCTGCAGTTGCAGCACCCTCTACCCCTGCACCGGCTAGAAGGAAGCGGTACGGTTCAACTTACCCTGAAGACGATGTTCAAAACGTCAACGGCGTACGGACAATTCTGCTGTAGTGGCAATTCGTACTCTTATGAGTTCTTCGACTCTGGGTACCCCTGCCACTGTACCAAGTACTGGTACTGACCGTCGCGACGACGTCACTGTGGGATTTGTTGAACATGGTACTGTTGATTTCCTTGCTCGTCAATGGGAGTAGGAGGTTTTCGTTGAATCTCGACCCGTCATCGACAAGTTAGTGTACGAGGTGCACGGTCTGCTTGACCAAGTGGCGCATGTTAAAGGACAACTGGATCTTTTTCTTGAGGTTACCTCCACTTGTGACATCGCCAACTCTTTCGAAGCCAGAGCCACGTGATCCACCAGCGACGGATCAAGGTAAAGCTTGATCAAGCCGACGTAAAACACTGGGTGTGGTAGCATCTTCCATGGGAGGTTGAGCATATACGCTAGACTCTTTTAGCCAAAATCGCAGATCGCCCAATAAAGCGAGGACGCAACTTGGTCCCGCAGACCGCTGACACCACCTTGACAGGTAGATTCTTAGCGTTAAGTAAGACTAGGTCTCCAACCTAATAACTCACAATACACTTTCTGCTTTTAGCATCAGCTTGTTCCTTTTGTTTGTACTAGCTATCAGCCATTGTGTCATCCACATGTCGTAAGCCATTTAATCGCGCAGTGAGAAACTCTCTTACCTCTATATAAACCGTATTAGGGCTGACATCAGTAGGACGATCGTCTATCTCTCCCCCACCAATCCATTAACAACTTAGGGGAAGCGTTAACGAAAAGCGTGAGTGAGTGATACCATTCACGTAAACGGGAGCGAAGCCAGTTGCGGCATGAACAGCGTTGTATAGCGCAAACTCGACCACCTGGAGCATAGAGCTCCAACGACTAGACGTATGAGCACAAACACTGCGCAACATGTCACCAATGACACGTTTGACACGGTCCGTATAACTATCTGTCTGCGGATGATACTCTGTGGACATGTCCAACCTGATGCCCAGACGTTGAAGATGGAAGTACAAAGCTTTCCAGTAAAACGTGGATCACGGTCCGAGACAATTTCTACAGGCGAACCGTGTTAACGACACACACGTTCGATAAACAGCTTTGCTGTATCTTCACCATCGACAGAATCAGGCACAGTCGCTGAATGATCCATCTTGCTTAAACGGTCAGCAAAGACCACAATACCAGTTTTGCCGTCCAAATCCTTCGGTAGGCCAAACACAAAGCCCATTTTGATGACTCTTAACTCTTAGTGGGTGCAGGCAAACAAATAAGCGGTGTAACTGCATATTCTGAGGGTTTGACCTCACGACACGTTTCACATGTATAAGTGTGTGTACTCACCCATTCGTACAACCTGGGCCACCAATACGTCCGGTTAACTGAGCTGTAGGTCTTCAGACGACCGAGATGACCGCTCAAAGCAGTGTCATGTGCTTAAAAAAGGATATGATACTTCGAGTCATCATCACGAGGAACAAGGGTGCGAAGCACATCCTCAACACCCGTGCAATAGCACAACAACCCACCGTCGGTGACATATCGATGTAGGCTCGCACGTAAACGTGCCGACAATTTGATGTCCGAGTCTTGAAACCCCTCGCTTACAAGAGAGTGCAGTAATGCTACACGTTTCTCACCACGTGCATGTACCGCACGAATTTAATCCACAATGGATGGCGACAGAGTCGTAACGTGAACAAACTCATAATCAGGTCTGCGTGACAACACACCAGCCAAAGCGATTAGCTTTCCCGGCTTATAATTCACCTCGAATTTGTTTTCACCAAATAACGAGAGCCAGCGGGCCACATACTGTGAGAGGTAAGGCGAATGTGGCGCAGTGCGTAACGACTCATGATCGGTGACAATCACAAAAGGCTTTGAGCCAAGTAGGTGGACTCTGAACTTAACAAGGTCATATTTCGTTGAGCGTAACGCTTTGTCATGAACTGGATAGCTCTTCTCTGCAGCCTTTAGCTGGCGAGATTACTACGCAATGACGCACTTATGTCCGTCTACATCTCTCTGCAGTAATGCACAGCCATTAGCAAATCAGACGCGTTACAGACGACACTGAAAGTCCACTCAGGGTTGGGCCAAGCCACAATTGGAGCATGAAGTAGAGTGTTCTTTATAGCTTCAAAAGCGTATGTACTGATTCTTAACAGCATACTGCATACTTCTTGAGGAGTTTGACTAATGTCCTTGTCATGCCAGCTTAGTTTGCACTGTACTTGTGCAAGTAATGAACAAAGCCGATCCATTTACAAAAGTTCTTTTGGTCCGAGGAAACAGAGTCAAAAATTGAATTTAACTTGGCAAGATCCGCTCGAACTCCACGCTTTCCAATAAAGCACGCGGGAAAGGAAATTTATTCAGCACCAAGAGTGCATTTTGATGGATTTGCATACAGCGTGTTCGTGTGCGTGCACTCGAGCACTGCTCGTAAATGGTCAATGCGATTCTCCACATCTGATCTGCCATGATCTGCACGGATGCGGACACAGATTCCATCGAAATAGCTTTGTGCATATCCTCTATGAGGGCGGAACAATTGCGTCACAAGACGATTGAATGTAGCCGGGGCATTAGTCATCCCTTGAGGTATGACAAGCCACTCCTCTAGAAAACCGATTGGAGTACTAACTTCTGTGAACGGAATATTACTCGCTCACTTAAGAATTTGATAATTAACATCGACCAAGTCGAGTGCACTGAACATGGTACAACCTACCGTAGCGCTCTGAAGAAAATCCTTTCTAGAGATAGGTGTATGTGCCGGTATAGTGGCTGCGTTAAGATTATTGTAAGCATGCACAATGCGCCACTTGCCATTTAACTACCTGACACAAAATGGCGGTGTCGAGTGCGGAGACTTGCTCCCACGCACTATGCCAGCCACGTGCTTTGCACGAAATAACTCGTCAATGAAGTCACACTGCTCCTTTGGTAGGGGCCACCGCGGTGTCACACAGTATTTGGTCGAGGAACAGGTCGATTTAATAACTTACGCCTCGATGAGAAGGCAGAGTGGAAGGTGGATCGTGACACACCCCATCCTGAAACTCCTTAATCAAATAATAACAAGGGTCTTTATGATCTTCCAAGATCGATGACCCACTTCGATCCTTCAGTGCCGTTTTTGCGTCTTCTAAGATAGCCTCGTCAAGAAGTGACGACGGGTTCAACTCACTTTCGGATCCAATGACCACCATTTCATACAAGTCACCTGACCTTAAGGTCAGGCCACACTCATCGAAAGACTTTCGTCTGGCTCAAACAGAGTATTAAGTGAGGGTAGATTCTCAAGACTCACTGATCCATCAACGTCACCAGTCACTCCGTTAACGTGTGTATATACTTGCTCACTAGTATCACTCAGTGACGTAACAGACGCCTTGCGCTGCACAAAAGCAATCTGGCTTTGATCGTCTCTGTGATGAGACTGAATGTCTCAAAGAGACTGAACCTTTCTCGTTCCCAAGGTTTAGAGCATCATCATCATTTTTAACTTGCTCTGTAAAAGAGCCGGTGTCATTACCGACACACGGCACACCAATGTCTCCAAGATTAACATGTACGTCAAGCTTAAGTTGATCATTACCAGAGCCGAGTTCATTACCGACACAAGGGACATTAATGCCCCCAAGATTGTCATGACCGTCAATCTTAAAAATACCCAATACCAGGGTCGATTTCATTAACAACATCTGGGACTATACTTTCTTCAGGGTGATGAATTGCGTCAACCTTGATTTGATATATGTCAGATCCGATGTCAATAACGACATCTAATGATGAATCAATTCCAGTAAGATCACCATCCAGTAGGTACTTATGTGCCACTCCACACTCATAAAACGGAAGTTGCCTTTGATGAATTGGTATTTTACCAACAACGTCTTGACTGACATTCAGTGCGTCGCAATCACGGCCAAAATCACTCAGTGGGTACTTATGTGCCACTCCACGCTCACCAGATGGGTTCAACCCATGATGACTTTGATCTAGGCCAATTTAGCATTCAGTAATTCGAAATCACAACGATTATTACTCGACGGAGTGCGTTCCGTATCACTAACACTCATTGACATTGGATCGTAACTGATGTTTTTGACATCATTCAACTCAACAAGTTCAGTCATACCGATTTCCAGCACACTGACTGTTTCACTTTGTGGCTCGCGCCAATAGCGTTTCTGTATCCTAGCAGAATTGGGCTCATGACTCTCCAAAGCTCGAATAGGAACCGTGTGCGTTGCGCCTAAGTTTTTTGACCTCCAATCAATCCAAGGCCCATGGCATTCTAGCCAAGCCATGCCAAGGATAAGATCATACCTCTCATCCAAGTCAAAGAATAGACAGCGTTCAATACTGTCAAAGTCCGAAAACTTCACGCCTGAGTTCACAGGAACTTTTAGCACAGATACTAATGCACCTTTCGCTAAGCTAACAGTGATAGTCTCATTCTTTCGCAATTTTAGCGCCTCAGCATACTGTCGACTATATTTCAGGGAACAACGTCGGAATTAATTTCCCAACGCCCCGGAGTCGATCAACATCGACCATGGCTTATCAAAGCCCTTCGCTTTTGCTTTTGCAGCTGACAATCCTGGCTTGTACGCATGCTTCGTGACATTGTGCTCGAAGTCACTTAGGACGAGGCCTTATTTTTCATCACCTACCGAGACGTACCACAGAGCCTAAATCCCCTCCAGCAGGGCAATCCGCGTCTACTGGGACTCGACGTTTTCCCGCGCCTTGCAGACTAGTTAGTTAGCAACGAGAGGTCGGCTCGAGTGAGCCTGTATAGTCCTTCTCAAAGAACAATTGGGGCGAAGATGTTGATTCTTCCGAAAGTAAAACATCTACGGATGTTCAAACGCTGTTTGACAGCGTAGAGCTGAGCTTCTTCGTCTCTATCAACGAGAATAAGGTCCATGGGATCTGCCCTATCCATGAGATGAAACTCGCTCGACGAGTTCGCTTAAAACCCATGAATCCCACACCGTGCAGATTTAAAAATTAAATTTGGCGTTCAATGCGATGCTCGCTGCACCTTCAAATGTCAACGGTTGTGAACGAAACACTTCTGTTCTGGCAACGCCAGTGCAAAGATCCTCCACAAAAATGGTTACCAAAACTGTCTCAGGTACAGGGCCACGTTAATTAGTAGCAATTAGAGTTCGCAGCTCTTGAACATAATCGACTAACTCCTAATTACCTTGGGCGGGTTGACAGGAAACGTGATCGCACACGATATGCCTGAATAGGCGGAGCAAACACCCGGTATAGCTGCTTTTGCCAGGTGAGAAAAGCCTCTTCTACCAGAGGTGCCAAAAGTGAACGCCCACTTCCTGGCTCGCCCACCTAACTTTGATAGGACCAGGCCCATTTTTGCTGCTTTGACCGTAGCAAGGACGAGATGATGGCAACCTCCATCTCTCAAACCCACAAAAGGAGATTTTCTCCCTCTTTCCACTCAAAAGTCTTGACACTCAAGACTAGAGGACGATTCCTTGACTCAGCGTCCGGTATTGGAACATACCGAGTGGGCATGGCAGACGTTAAATGGTCATGGACCTGTCAGATCAACCAACCTGCACTCAAAGTTCGAAAAAGCCTCGGGACGTGCACGAAGAGCGTCCGGGCCTTGAAACGCTATTAGATCCACTCGATCGTGCCCGACTAACGCCGTGAGCTTCTCAAGCGTGACATGCTGGGCCTCAGAGAGGTTCATGATCGTCTCCATACTCGCAGAGGATCCAGTCTGTGCAGACTTAGATATAGATTTACTACAAGCATACCAAGTGTACCAAAGATACTTAGCGCTCCTTAGCAGAGGAAGTCTTCAGATCAAAGAGTTTTTTCATTAGAAACAATCTGACAACGACGTACAGTCGTTTGAGCGTACAAGCTTAACAATCCCGGTTCCAAAAGGAATTACGATTCACAGAATCACACACTAACTAGTCACTACTAGTTAAACAAGAGTAAACGCCTCCACAAGGCTAACACTCTTACAACACGCTACGCCTTGGCTAGCCACTATCATCCAACGATTCAAATGGGGAACCGAACTTTACTTATTCTTTAACTACGGCAATCAAACCCTAAATCCTTGTCTGATTGACTTCTACTTTGCGATACAATGACGGAAGTCTTATCCCTCATCCTTACTCGATAGTGTGGTGTTACCGTAAGTACGTGGTACCAAGACTGTACCAT